TGGGACGTGTGCCACTGGTGTTGGCAGGCGTTGCTCTGGAATGCTCCTTTAGGGGTGCTGGAAACTGTTTACCAGACTGAGACCAGCACTGGTAGGCCAAAACTCCACCAGGGTGTTGATGCTGTGTTGCTGGGCACTGTCCTTACAGTTCCCTCTCCTGTATTTACTGTTCCAACAAGGAATCAACTAGTTGGTGATTTTGTTCTGGTCAGGAGGTGGCACCAGAGATCCGTACTTGCTGACCTGTGCTTTATCCCAGTGGTTCTCTGAGAAATGGAGAGCGGGGGTTACCAGGGTGAGCACCTCAACACAGGGGCTCTATTCAAGCTGGGTGCTGTGTCTGCTCCGTGTTCACCAGGTGCTCTGCCCACAGGTGTATGGATTCCATGTCCTGACTTCTGCACTCTAGGTCTCAGTTGCGGGGCTATCAGATCCAAAATGCTGGCTGTCACCCTGTGCAGTGCCTGCTGTTATGGCACATCCCATGCCCCGGATCCTGCGGCTGGCTCTCAGTTTAGGATGGGGTCTTGCTCTACGCCTTATTCTCTCCTTATCCCCGTTTGTGCTGCCCACCTCTCTCAGAGCCTGAGGGTGTTTTGGGATCCCTGGTTTCCAACTCTCAGGATGTTGGTGATTTTTTTTCTGGTCACTAGGTGGCGCCAGAGATCTTTTCTAGTGTCCTTCCAGAACTGTCTTTCTCCCCATGGGCCCAGGGGAACAGAGTGGGAGTGGTGTGGAGAGCCTCAAAGGCATGGGGGTGCAGGGTCTGCCCTGTGCCCCACTGTCGTGGAGATTCTGCACCCCGAAATTTGTGCCCTCAGTTCTGAAGCCCTCAGATCCAGGATGCGGGCTGTAGCCAGTTTAGTATCCACAGATATGGCGCCTTTTGCACCCTGCTCCCATGTCCAGGCGCTTGGTTTCTGATTACTCGGTGAGGGACATTCACCTCAATGAGGGCTCCTGCGCATCTCCCCACAGGCACGGGACCTGGGCAGCTGGGATCCGCATTCTGCATATTCTTTTCAAGTGCACTGCTTTTCTGCACAAGCTTATGGGCTGGTCTGGGCTATTTATAGGTCTCCACGGAGTCCTTATCTTCCTCTAATGGCGCAAGAGCCATTCACTCACCTCCGCAGTGATTCCTGCCCAGTTTTCCACAGTTCCAGTTCACAGGGTGCAGTGCCTGAAATAGTTCCTTTCCACTCACAGTCCGCTTGATGTGTAGTTTGTTCTTGTTGGTTGTTTTGCTTGTTTGTTTGTTTTCCTCCTTTCTGTTGGTCGGAGAGTGCTGACTTTGTGGGTGGGGGAGGGTAGCCAGGTTCTGAGCTTTCCTCCCTTCTTGTCCTCTTATGACAACTTTCTTCTTCATGCAGTTTGCCAGTCACCCATTATCTTCCGCTTCCCAGTTCTCGCAGGGACCAGCCATTTTTCCTCCCTATTAACTTTTTTTTTTTTTTTAATGGGAGGACTTACTCGCAGCATTTCCCCTCTGCCATGTTGATCTCTCTCTGATGCATTCTTTGACATTGTGCTGCAATGCACGGATGAGATGAATGGTGAGTAGGGGGTGACTTTTCCTCTGGTGGGAAGATGAGCTCATAACTATTGCCTTAAGAAAGCTGAGGAGGAGTCCTCTGCTAGAGCAAGGAAGGAGGGGAGTGTACAAACAGACCCATTGGGAAGGAATGTGTGACATTATGGAAAGAAGGGTCCTGACACTAGCCCGCCCCTTTCCTGCTATCAGCATCAGCATTTATTTTCTTCTGTTTTCACAACGAACTTTGTGCTGAATGGTTCTCTAAAGGGCATCTTTTAATTTTAAATGCAGTGTTTCACAAACAGGCCCCATGGGTTTCCAAACCTAAAAGGAGGTCAGGCTCCTGCCATAGAAGCTTTGATCTTCATATAGCTCCTCATATCTTCATCTTCAGTTACCTTCAGTGTAATAATGTGTGTTCAAAAAGCTATATCCAATGACACTTAAAACCCACTGAGATGTCCCATGTCTAGCTTAAAGTAGCTCTTACACTGCAGATTATATATCACACCACAAAGTCTGTCGAGGTCCATGCCTCCTGATTGTGAATAAGCATAGGATGGTCCTTCCCTTTGGATTTTGCCGTTTTGTCTTTAGGCCAAATGGTCTGAGGTGTTTAGGGAATAAAACAGGTTACGGTGGCAGTAGATAAAATAATTTCATCTCTTACTCATAGACACTGTCTCTGTAAGAAGTGGCAATAGTCTGTGCAGGCCCGAGGCTGGAGATGGCCAAGAAAATAGGTGATGGGGAGAGAGTAAGCTTTGAGGATGATATAGGGAGGTCGACTACTTCTGCTCTTTTTAAAAGACACATGTAGAGTTATTGTCTCTATTCTTCTGAACAGATAATTTAGGTACTTCAAAACTTTGTTCAGAATGTGCATACAATGACTTCCAGCAGAGCTAAACCTGGAATCGCCATAGTAATCTACAGGAAATGTGTCTTTTTTATTTTTAAATAAATTTATTTTATATTCCCCATACAATTGCAACCCCCTTATTTTGACCCCAATCCCTCCCCTCCCTGCCCCCCACCCCATAGAGTGTCTCTCATTCATAGTTTGGTTGATTTTGATTTTCACTTTCTTATAGTTATTCATTTTCCTGGTCCCTTATTTAAGTTTTCTAGATGCCTGCTATGAGTGAGGCCATCGGTATTTTTCTTTTTCTTTCTGGCTTATTTCGCTGAGCATGATCCCTTCCAGCTCCATCCATGTTGCTGCAAATTGCGTGTTTATCTTTTTTGAATGCTGAGTAATATTCCATGGTGTATATGTACCACATCTTCTTGATCCAGTCATCTATTTTTGGCATTTGGGCTGTTTCCAAAGCTTAGCTATTGTAAACAGTGCTGCTATAAACATAGGGGTGCAGGTGCTCTTTGGAATTGATTTTTCTGTGTCCTTTGGGTAAATACCTAGGAGTGGATTGCTGGATCATATGGAAGCTCTATCTTTAGTAGGTTGAGGAATCTCCTCACAGCTTTCCATAGTGTTTGGACCAGTTTACACTCCCAAAGCAGTGCAGGAGAGTTCCTTTATTTCCACATCCTCGCCAACATTTGTTGTTGCTAGTTTTTTTAATATGTGCCATCTCACTAGTGTGAGATGGTATCTTATTGTAGTTTTGATTTGCATTTCCCTGATTGCAAGTGACATTGAACATTTTTTCATATGCCTGGTTACATCCAATTTTTATAGTTTAAAATAAAGATGACAACAGTTCCTAATTTAGTAAACATATTTTAATGTAGGACTAATTAATTTTTCTAGGGATATTATAAAGAACAGCTTGGGATGAGATTTCCAAATCAAGGAAACATGCATTTGTTTTCAGTTTATCAACTATGCTTAAAAGAGCATTTTTACCACTGGGTATGGGCAGTCAAGAATTCTATCATTGGCCTCTGATTTGTTAGTGGATATTCCAACAAATCTTCAAAAAATGGTTAAGAATACTGGAATAAAAACTAGGCCATGAATAGCCCCAATACCATGACAAGAAACATAATCTTAAAACATGTCCTGAAGATGTATGTCTTAGCTGCAGATAAAACAGACACTCCTATTATTGTTGACAGTGCACTTTGTAACACTGCGTAACCTAGCAAAAACAATGCCTCAATTGCTTTTTGGTTTGCTGAGGGTTTAGAACTGGAAACAAATGCATATGAAATATGTGCACAAAAATCAAAAGAAAACCCTATACAAATCACAAGATTCATCATGGATACGGAATCAAGGTTGACATGCCAGAATCCCATGAAACCTGTTATTCCTACAATCACAGAGCCAATAGAAAAAGTGACCCACAAGGAACACAATGGGTGGGGAATTAACAATAAAGAAACAATGAACATAGCTGTGGTTGCAACAATGACACTTCGAATAGTGTTTTCTAAGATTGCAGAATATTGATCAAAATAGATAAAAGCTGGGTTATACACCATTAGGGGAATCTCACACCTTTTGGCAATACTTCGTAATTGGAATAACATGTTCTTCTTACTGCGTGAAGAAGAAACACCCGTGGTCTGAATGAAGGCCCGGGAAGAAGTAATCTCATGTGATGATGAAATATTAATATCATATGTAAAAATTGGAATATGCACTAAAAAACCAGGAATGTTGTTTATAAAACTATCTTGTCATTTACAGCTAAGTTGTTGGCTTCCATATACTGTATATATGCTTGTAACCAAAACTGTGTTAGATTTTGAATGACATAATCACTGTTTTCAAAAGCGGTCAGACATTTCCCCAATGTTTGCCTAGTGTCTTTATCCCAGTAGTCAACTGCTTCAGTCATGATAACCATCACGATGGGACCATAATCTGAAAAATGCTCTTCATGGATGTTAAAATAGGGTGTGATATAGGAATCGTCACTTGCCAGATGTCGAAGGTCTAAACCTTCCTGCACTTGGAAACAGCCATATATACTGAATGCGATGTACAGAAGGTATAAAACCACTATCACAAACTTGGACTTAGTGTTTGTGAGAAAGGGGCCAAAATAATCTCTAAAGAACAAGTTCATTGGATGGATGCTCGATTCTTCATCAGTTCGAAGAGAACTAAATGGCAGCAGCACCTTATCAGCGAGGAAGAATTTTGGTCCGGGTTTCCCTCTGACCTTTGCAGCCTGCGCATACAGGCCGCTTCTCTCCTACCATCTAGGGCCATAGAGGCGCCAAAACAGGTGATGTTATAAAAATAACAGAAGAGCAAGGTTGTTCCCGTGTAAATGCAAAAGTACTGCACGGACTTAAAGGAGGTCATTACCCCTGTAAAGAAGGCCAGGACATTTGTGAGAGTGGTGATGGTGATGGACACCGCCACGTGGGAGTAGACGTCAGACATTCGCTGTTGTACGCTGTCCATGATGTTGGTCTTCTGCCAGGCAGAAATCATGATAAACATGTCATCAACGCCAACACCTGTTAAAAAAAAAATCTTAATGCACATTCATATCCATAAAAGTGTAAATAGCATAATTCAAAAGTTTTCCCCTTTTTCTCTTTGAATGAAGCAACATTGTTTTACATCCTTGTTGAGTTTTTGACAGTCTAGGATTTCTCCCCTCAGGTGTGGCCACCTTCGCTCTCCCAGCACCAGCGCACCCGTGGTCCTCCACCAGAGTCCTTGTGCTCTCCTCCCTGTCCCTCTTGCCACCCTCCCATCCCCCCGCTTCCTGGCTGTCTCAGCTCTAGGTCAGCTTTCAAGTGTTGCTTTGAAAGTTTGTCTTTGTCTGACCCTTTGTCTAGTTTCCCTATATTCCACATCTAAGTGAAATGATCCTTTGTCCCTTAAGGTCTTATTCTTTGGTCCTTCAGGTTTTATTAATCTCACAGAATCTGTGCTTAGGTAACACTCTCCTTGGTTGTCTCTGAGTCCACAACAGAGCACACTCCTCTCTCTTTAATAAGCTTGTGCTTTGCACGGATTGCTATTATTTCCACACAGCACAGTATACTCCACCTCTCCAATTATGGTGCCTCGGTGTTGAGATCAGGAAACCTGGTGGATGTGTTAGTTCAAGCAGGATTAGCAATCTGTTTCTGATTCCACTAGATTACTTGAGAGACCATTTTCTCTCATAAGCCATTTCACAGAAATGCATAAACACTTTCAGCCAACATTCTGTTACTGAACCTATCTGACCACCAACAGCATCAGTCTATCTTTGCGGTATGACTTGAGAGGCACGGCGTCATTTACAGGCACACTCACGCTAGTTTTCCTGATAGTCTGTTTTTGATATCCAGATAATGTCATTCGAACTTCCCAAGTTGAATCTAGCAAGATGGCCTCACCTTCTCCAGATACCTCACAACTAGATTGCAATAGAGCAAGGCCCAAACCCCTGAAGGAAAAACAGACCTCCACAGCATATCTGAGGAGCAGCAGTCCCAAGGGAGGGAAAACATGAAGCAAACTCTGTGTAGTGAGATTGGGGCAGCACAACTCGTGGCTGGTGGGCACATGCTATGCAACAACCCCTACAGTTGGGCCTCCCTGGTGGTGCAAGGGGATGAGTCGCAGCCTGTGAAGCAATCCGCAGACTCTGCAGCACGAGTTCGATGCCCTGGCTGGCCAGGGAGCAACCCACATGGCGAGCAGACTTCTCCTGACTCGCTCGCTGCTCCCCTCAGCAGTGTATTTCAGTCAGTGTGCCTGTGTATTTCAGTCAGTGAGAATCCTCTCACCCCCCTCTCCTCTGGCCTCTACCCCAGCTCTTGTATGCATAAATAAATAAATCTTTAAAAAAGGAAACCCCTACAGTTGTGGTTTTGACACACAGCAATACCAGGGACTCCTGACACCTGGCAATGCACTGAATAAGGGAGTCAGCAAGTTGACAGCCAGGAACTGGAAAGCTTTGGGGTGGTAGTTCAGCATGAGCATTACTGGCTTGAGTGGAGCTCACAGTATAGAACAGCTGGATCCTGACCTCTCAACAGGGAGAGCTGAGTCAGGTCACCTGCGTCTCCCCATAGGAAAGGCTACTACTCGAGACTGGGATATTCAGAGAAATCGCCACCCCAACATGTGGCTAAAGCCAAAACAACAAAGGAATCCTGGTAAACTAGAGCTCAGTGCCTGCTAATGACAGGCACTCACACCCCAGGATAAGGCTTTGAGTGTCAAAAGAGAAGAGAACTCCCTGCCTGTGAGCCCATGTCAGCTGCAATCTGTGCCCGTGCTCAAGCTCAAGCTCAAGCATTCAAGAACAGCTTAGCGTGAGCATGAAGCCATGAAGGACATTAAGGCTGAGAAGTGGGCAAAGAAGTGGGGAGCACTTCCCAGCACCACCTCTGGTATCCACAGCACAGTAGGAAGCTTGAATTCCTGGCATTCATTGGGGTGATTCTTTGGTGCCCCACTGCCCTGGCACTCACTGTACCTTCTGCCCCTCATAAGGACCAGTTCTCTCGTTACTTCAACAGGGGAAAAGACAACGATTTGAAAGTCTATCCCTACTACAACCCATCAAAATTAAAAACGAGGGGACAGACGAACAGATCACAAATGTTGGAGGGAAAAACGAAGATGGGAGCCCCATTCCAGCAAAACTGCAGCACATGACTGACATAGATTTAGGGCAAAAGTTCTAACAAAGCCATGGAACTCCAATAACAGAGAACATGAGCCAGCACGAGAATACAAACAAAGCAATATGAGGTGGCTACAGTTAGAAATCACAGAAGTCTGAAACACTATAACTGAATGAAAAACATTCATTGAGGGCCTCAGTAGCAGACAAACAGAAGCAATGGAAAGAATCGATGAGCTCGAGAAACACCATGTTGGCGAACACACAATAGAACAATGCAGGAAAAAAGGAATTTGAAAAAGGATATCATGTTTTCCTTTCGGGAAAACAAGAGAAATCACATCCATCTCATATGGGTCCTAGAAGTAACAAAAATAAAGGCATAGAAAGTTCACTTAAAAAACAATATCAAAGGGCAAAATGGCAGCAGAGTAAAGATGCTGGGCTCACCCTCTCCATGTGTTCAAACTAGATTGCAACAGAACAAGGCCAATGACTCCTGAAGGAAAAACAGACAATTACAGCACAAGTAAAGTGCCCATCCAGAGGAGGGAGACCCAGCAAGCAGTGGAACAGGCCAAGCAGGTAGCCTGCCTAGGCAGTGAGGTGAGCCCCAGTGGCCTGGCAGAACTGGCAATGTGCTTACACAGAAACATTTGGCAGACCTCAGCAAGCCTCCAGACCGGGTCCTGAAGCAGACCACCCCCAGGCCCCCAGACAGTGGTGCAGATCTGTGAGCTCAGCAGTGGCTCATGGAAGCAGCCCCATTGACAGCAGGCCTTGGCAGTTCTCAGTGAGCCAGGGCAGGACTGGAAGCAGACCAGCCACAGCAGGCATTGGTGCAGACATCGGTGATCTCTAGTGGGGGGGGCGGGAGGCAGTCCTGGAAATAGCCCTTGGCAGACCTCAGGGCCTGGAAGCAAATCCACCAAGGTAGGTCCCCTGCTGAAGTTGACCTATGTCAAGATGCACAGTAAGGAAACTAGAAAGAGTTCAAGGCAAAGACAGAACGAAGAAGGCAGTCAGGCAGAAAAAAAGCAGATAACCTGTAAAAGTACCCTCTTCAGGCTTACGTCTGAATTCTCTGAGGAAATTCAACAAGTGAGGAGAGAATGGAATAATGTATTCGAAACACTCAAAGATCAAAACTGCCAGCCAAGAATATATATCCTGCAAGACTCTCATTCAGATGTGAGGAGAGAAAATAAGGACTTCCCAGACAAATGAAAGCAGGAGTTTGCTATCACTAGACTTCCTCCTCAAGAAATATTGAAAAGAGAACTCCTATCTGAATTTCACATGAGAAAAGTCACAAGAAACTAAACTATAGAAGAGAAAACTAAAGACAAAATTACAGAAGCTAATACCTTTATATCAATAATCACTTTAAGTGTGAATGGAATGAACTTGCCAAGCAAAAGGCACAGAAAGGATGGTTGGATCTGAAAACAAATCCAACTTCTTGTTGTCTCAAGGAGATCTATGTGAGTTCAGAAGATAAACAGATTCAAAGCAAATGGCTGGGAAAATATCCTACAAGTGAATGGGACCCTCAAAAAGGCAGAGACAGACATATTTCATCAGACAAAGAAAAACCCTTGCAGTAAAAAGGGGAACAAGAGGCAGAATGGTCATTGCATAGTGATTAATGGAGCAACACATCAGGAAAGGATGATATACCATCAGTATACATGCAGCAAACAAAGGTGCACCCAAATATATAAGACAACTATGTGACAAACCTAAAAACAGACATTGACCACAACACAATGATGGTAGAAGACTTTGAAGACACCCCACTTACTTCAAAGACAGATCAACCAGAGGGAAAATAGACAAGGAAACAATAGCCTTAAGTGAGCAATAGACCGCTTGAGCCCACCAGACATTTATGGAGAACAACACTCCCCAAAAGCTGAGCACACATTCTTCTGAAGGTCACATGGAACATTTTCCAGAGTGGATCACATGTTGGATCATAAAACAAGTGTGAATAAATTCATGAAGTTTGAAATCATTGTCAGGCACCTTTTCTGATCACAATGGTATCAAATAGAAATCAAGCACAAAAGGAAGGTGGGAAAAACCCTGAGTAGGTGGTGACTATAAAGCACCACACTCATGACTATTGGGTTAATGAGGAAATCAAAGAAGAAATTAAAAAAAAAAAAACCTGGAGACAATGGAAAATGAAGACACAACCTATCAGAACCTCTGGCCAGGAGCAAGAACAGTTCCAAAGGAAAGTACAAGGCAACACAGGCCCACATCAAGAAATAACAAAGAACTCAAATAAATATGCTAACATTACCTGAAAGAATTAGCAAAAAAGCTAGTTGAAGGAAGGAAATAATAAAAATCACAGTGGAAATAAATGACATAGGATTTAAAATGACAGTTTAAAAAAGTCATTGAGGACCTCCCTGGTGGTGCAAGGGTAAGACACAACCTATGAAGTTATCTGCAGCCACTGGGCCACGGGTTCGATCCTTGACCAGGGAGCTGCGCACATTTTGCAGCAGATATCTCCTGACTTGCCCGCTGTTCCCCTCAGCAGTGTATTTCAGTCAGTTTGCCTGTTCTGTTCCCCGCTCTGTCTCTGGTGAATCCTCTCATCACCCCATACCTCTGGCCTGTACTCCCCACCTTGTATGCATAAATAAATAATGTTAAAAAAGTCTTTTAATTTAAAAAATCAATGAAATGAGTAGCTGGAACTTAGGGAAAAAATAAGATAGAAAACTTCTAGCTAGACTCAGTAAGAAAAAAACTCTTAGTACAAGGGGGTAGAAGGAACATATCTCCACAGATTAAAGGCATCTATACCACACCCACAGGTAATATAATCAGGGAGAGAATAGGATAAGATTTCAGATACACAACAATGATGTGCACTATCACCACCCATGTTCAACGTAGTATTGGAGGTACTAGAGCTATTAGGCAAGAGAGGGATATAAAAGGAACCCAAATTGGAAACAAAGAAGTCAAACTATCACTATTTATAGATGACATGATAATGCATATAGTAAAACCTAAACACTACATTTTACAAAATATTCTATCAGGGAAGTGAGAGACCGCAAAATCAACATGCAAAATTATGTTTATTCCTATATGCAAATAATGAACGAGAAGAGAAAGCCCTCAGGAAAACAATCTCATTTACAATAACATCAAAAAGTATTAAATACCTAGAAATAAACCTAACAAAAGAGGTGAATGATCTAAGAAGAGGTGGCACATATACACAATGGAATATTACTCAGCAATCAAAAAAGATAAACTCATGCCATTTGCAGCAACATGGATGGATCTAGAAGGAATTAGCTCAGTGAAAGGAGCCAGAAGGAAAAAGAATAATATTGGATGGTTTCACTTAAAGCAGGAATATAGGGGAACCCAACAAGACATCAGTGTAAAAAAATAATAACAGCACAAAACACAACACAATAAAGACAATATTATAAATCAGAGACATCCTGCAGGGGAGGAGGAAGGAGAGGGATCAGAGGGAGGGAGGAGCACTGGGGACTGAGGTGATGGTGCACGAGTGCATTGGGGAAGGAAACTCAATGGGGACTGCACATGAGGGACTGGGGGAAGCAAATATTGTTCAAAAATGAGCAATGATGTAAAAATTGAAAAATAAGAAATAAAAGTAAAAAAAAAAATTAAGAGGTGAATGATCGATTCAATGAAAATGATAAGGTATTGCTAAATGTAATATAATAAGATGCAAGAAAATAGAAAGATATTCCCCGCTCATGGATTGGAAGAATTAATATTGTTAACATGTACACCTTCTCCAAAGTAAGACAGATAGAGATGAAATGGAATTCCTATCAAAGTTCTAATGGAATTTTTCAAAGAAATAGAGCAAATTTAATTGAAATTTATATAGAGCCAGAAAAGACCCCAAATAGTCAAAGCAATATTGATCAAAAAACGTATTGGAATTAAAACAGACACACAGACCAATGGTATAGAAATGACAGCCCAGAAATAAACCCATAATTTTATGGACAGTTAATGTACAAAGCAGGAGTCAAGAGTACACAATGGAAAAACGAAGTTCTCTTCAACAAACGGTACTGCAAAACTGGGTAGCCACAAGTAGAAAAAAGAACTAGACCACTCTCTCCTACCATACACAAAAAATAACTCAAAGTGGATTAAAGGTTTGGATGTAAGATCTGCAGTCATATAATACATAAAAGGAACCAGGCAAAATACGCCATAATATTGGCTTCATGGTTTTCTTTGGGGATTTGACTCCAACTTCAAGAAGACAAAAGCAAAAATAAACAAATGATACTGCACAAGCTAAAAGGCTTCTTCCCAGCGAAAGGATGTCTCATCAAAATGAAATGACACCCTACTGAATGGGAGAATACATTTGACACCCTACTGAATGGGAGAATACATTTGCACATCACACACCTGCCAAGTAGCTAATATCTAAGATCTACAAAGGACTCAGACAACTCAACCAAATGAAAACAAGCCAATCAAAAATGCACAGGAGAGCTAAATAGTCACTTCTCCAAGACGACACACAGATGGCCAGCAGGCACATGAAGGAAATGTTCAACATCACATATCATCATGGAAAGGCAAATCAAAAGCAGAGGGATGTACCACCTCACTCCAGTAAGAATGGGTTACATGTGTATCTAACAGAAACCACAGAGGTTGGTTAGGATAAGGAGAAAAAAGAACCCTAGTACTTTCTTGGTGGGAATATAAAGGTTTCCTAGGTTTGAATTCACCAATCTCATGTGGATATGGTAGATTGCTTTTAATTATTTTTTCAATTCTCAATCACACTGAAATGAACATACTTACTCTACTTTTTGGAGCATTTTTTCAATTATTAGGACAAATTCCTAGAAGTAGAATGGAGAGGTGAAAGACATGCACCTTGAATCCCCTTGGAATCCTTTTGATTTGATACAAAAATTGGACTAAGTATGAGCCCATTCATAATCTCCTAGCAGCAGATGACAGTGTTCATTAGATACAACCACCCCAAAAGCTTCAGTCTCACAATATTTATTATTCTAATAAGAAAACAAGGCATCTAAGTTTTGGTTTAATTTGCATCCCTTGATTGAGAGGTCATATATTTTTCCCCCTTACATTTTCAGTGTGTTGTATTTTCCCTTTTCGGCATTGTGTGTGTGTGTGTGAGAGAGAGAGAGAGAGAGAGAGAGAGAGAGAGAGAGAGAGAGAGAGAGAGAGAGAGAGAGAGAAAGAGAGAGAGAGAGAGAGAGAGGGAGAGAGAGAGAGAGAAAGAGAGAACTGCCTGCTCATGTCATTCTCTTTACTTTTCCATTTGGGGTCCTTAATTTTTGCAGTTCTGAAAACACAATTTAATGTTTATCTTAATTTCTGACACCTTATTTTGGATCTGTAGTCATCTAAGCACAGTTCTTTTACTAAATCTATCATAAACTCTTTCTGTTATCTACTTTCTCCCAAACACACACATAGTTGTAGCCGCACATTTGCTTTACTCTCCTAGTATTAGAAATGGTGCATTTGCAACTATTGTCACAAATGGCACCCCCACGTACAACATGAGGCCAAAGCCACTCACCACTGCCAAGGCAACAGAAATCACTCCAACGACTGCAATAAACATTTTGTTTCGTATACAGCTAAACCTGTAAATAGGGAAGGAAAAATGATGAATTTTCGGCAGCAGCTTCCATACTCAAATTCCATCAATTCATGACATTCTTGATTTTGGACCTGTTCTGAAATCTCTTCTGCGACCATTCTACACCTGTCTCCTGGAGACCTTTAATTCCCATGCACTATCCCAGACCCACCACACCAATTCAAAGAGGGAAAATAAAAGTTGGCATTTTGTGCTTTAACTTAACTATCTTCTAATGCAGCTGGCCAAGCACTAATTCCCTAATGGTGTTTCAGAACCACATACATGTACTGGAGCACAGCAGATGGTTAATTCCACTCTAGTGTTCAAGGAGTTGTGTGTGAATAGAACACAACACTAAAGGGCAGGCAGCTGTAGTTGAGAAAGTACCCACATCCAATTATCTTTGCACTCATTTCCTGATTCCAACTAGCTATTAACACCAACCTAAAGAGTTCCTTACAACAGAGATAGTATGTGGTTAATAAAATGCATTAAAGCATCCTGCTAAAACAGTTTCAAGATTCTCCTTTATTGATGAAGTGGGTTCTAGAAAAGTTGCTATTAATTGCAAAAAAAATGTTTTGAAATGTACTGTTTTGGGATCAACAAATGACTTTTCTGTTTCTCTGTTGGACCACCAGAAATAGGAATATAGAGAGAGCATTTGAAAGCATGTATGCAGTACTTTGCCTCCACAATAACTTTATTACATTTTAAAATATTGACAAACATCTGTGGTTTTATATTTTAATTTTATGTGAATAGTTTTAAAACAAATGATTGATAAAAGTTTCTCTGGACTTCTATAGGAAAAAGAAACTAAGTTTGAAGACTAGGAGAGACAACTAAGGAAATGGAGCTACTGATTCCAAAACAGAATGTGACAAAAAGACTTTTTCAGACCATATTCACATAGCAAAACTTTCTTTTTAATAAAAGTTTTCTGCACCATTGATGTGTTTCACTTTTTCTCAAACTGCTGGTGCCTTGAGTTAAATTTACTGTCCCAAATACACACACACAAACACACACACACACGCGAATTTCAGAGAAAAAGTAAATTGCTTGGTTACAATAAATTTGAATGTAATTAATATTTTCCTTTTGCAATACTTCTTGAAAACAATACTTATAGGGGCCTCCCCGGTGGCGCAGCAGTTGAGCGCTGGGTTGCGAAGCTGCCCGAAGCCTCCGCAGCGCCAGTTCGATCCCCGGCTGCTCCCCGGCCACCAGAGGAGGGTCCCACATGGCGCGCAGACCTCTCCTGCCGCCCGCTGCTCCCCTCAGCAGTGTACTTCGGTCCTTCTGCCTGCTCTGCTCCCCGCTCTGGCTCTGGTGAATCCTCTCACCATCCCTGCACCTCTGGCCTGTACCCCAGCTTGCATACATAAATAAATCTTAAAAGAAAACAATACTTATAAATATTTAAGATACAAACAATACAAACATAACAAAGATAAACTTCAAATGCAAAAAGATTAGTCAGAGCTACACAGGACATGTTTAGTCTCAAACCCTTTTACAAGTTTCTGCATTTTTATGTAAAATTTTTAAACACTGATGTAGGAAGGTAAATTGTTGGCTACAGTGACTTTACTTTGACTAGTTGTGCTGATGTTCTCTAAGCAACTGTTAATAATTGTAAGTGAAGGAAAGATATGAAAATGGACACTGTAGGAGACTGATGAATGCACTTGCAGATATTCTAGAACTCTACAAGAAACTTGATAGAAGCAGTTTATCAAAATGATTGGAGAATGATCAACTTTAGATTTCCTATGACCAGGGATCAACAGATCTTCACTCAGTAGGTTTACAATGACGCTGCAGAATCATTGTGTCTAAAATTTTCCTCACACGATTCCAATGGTCAGTCAAATTGAGGCATCCCTGACAGCAAAATGGCCAATTTTCTGAACATTCTAATAACTTGACAGCATCGGACTGAATTGAAAATGATTACACTTAGAAAACTGTATGTTCGGGGAGGAGGACACATCTTTCTAAAAGATAACGATGTCTATTAAACACAAGAACAATTAAAGTATATTTGAGAGGAGAAAGATTTTCCAGATTTTATCAGAAATTGATCTAATAGTTGGCAAAATAAGACTTGTCATTTCTAAAATGCCAAATATGAAATAGACTACAAAATCAATATACCACTACTTGCCATAGAATGGTGTTCAATTTGGCAATACTCTCTTGGGAAGGTCTTACTGTTATCCAAATGATTTCATTCCAAGCCAAAAAATATGCAATGCTCAAATGTGTTGAATCCCTGAGCTAAACAAACATAAGATAGTCGTATTGATAACAGAGAGAGGGAGGGAGAATTGTCAAAAGAATCTACAAAGGCACCAGCAGGAAAATCAGTTACATATATTCAAGTCCAAGGAAGGCAAGTATTACGACTATACTCAGCACCTGTGCCGACAGAAATTTCCTGGTCCTTTTCCTCTTTGTGTGTGCTCCAACCCAGGAAGTAGTTTTGCAATATGGAAAGGAGGAAGGCATACTAGACAAATACTATGAGAAACACCGTCCTAAATATGCTCAGAATGCTTAAGGAGAACACTGACAAGGAAAGCAATATATGAATGAAATAATAATATACATCGAAAAATTTAAAAGGAACCAAACAGAAATTCTGGAGCTGAAAAGCTAAAAAAACAACCAACAAACATATACAACACAAACAAGTGAAACATGGAGATGCAGACCAGATTTAGCATTGTGCTGGAATTGCTCGCCAGAGCCATTTGTCAAGGAATAGAATAAAAAGAATTCAAGCTGGAAAGTAAGAAATATAAGTATCCTGTTTCAGAGATTACATAATCACAGATATGAAAATTCCAAAGCATCCACAAGAAAACTACTAGTTACAAAAAATTCAACAAAGCTACAAGATACAAGAACAACTTATAAACATCAGCTCTGTTTCTATTTACATGCAAAGAGCAATTGCAAAGGAAATTAAGAAAGTGATTCTATTCAAATAGTATCTAAAAGAAGAAAATACTTAAGAATACATTTGACCAAGAAGGTAACAGATGTGTATACTGAAAATTAAAAACACTGGTGAAAGAAACTAAAGAAAACCTAATTTAATAGAAAGACATCCTTAGTTGATGTGAAGGATTAATACTGTGAAAATGTCAATCACCCAGCAATCTACTGATTCAACTCAATTTCTATTGAAATTGCAATTTCCTTTTATCTTTTTCAGAAATGGAAGAGCCAACCCTCAAATTCACTTGAAATTGCAAGGAGCCCAGGATATCCAAAACAATCTTGAAAAAGAAGAAAAAATTGCAGGACTGAGATTTCCAGATTTCAAAACTTACAACAAGTTACTGTAATTAAAACAATGTGGGGACCTCCCCGGTGGCACAGAGGTTGATCACTGGCTTGCGAAGCTGCCCGCAGCTTATGCAGAGCCAGTTCGATCCCTGGCCGCTGAGTGAGGGTCGCACATGGTGCGCAGAACTCTCGTGCCACCTGCTGCTCCCCTCAGCAGTGTATTTTGTCAGTCTGCCTGTTCCGTTCCCCTATCTGGCTCTGTTGAATTCTCTCACCCTCCTGCGCTTCTGACTGTACCCAGTGCTGGTATAAATAAAATAAATAAATCTTAAAAAAAAAAAAATGTGTGACTAGCATACAAATAAACATACAGACTAACAGTATAGAATTGGGAGTCCAGAAATAATCCATAAATATAGCCAGTTGATTGACAAGTGTAGTAAGTCTAACAAACTGGAAAAGTCTCTTCAATAAATGGTTCTTGGAAAACTAGATCGTCACATACACAAGGATGATGCTGGGACCTTAACTAAATACCATAAACAGAACTGAATTAGACATTGATCATTGATTTAATAAAACAGTTAAAACCATAAAAACTTGTAGAGGGAAACACAGATTCAGTGTGCATGACCTTGGACTTGTCAATGTACACTTAGATATAATACCAAAAATACAAGAACCAAAAAAATTAGATATGTTGGATATCATAAAAAATAAAAAAAAATGTTAATTGTTACAGGCCATTGTCAACAAAGTGAAGAGACAGACTATAAAGAGTAAGAAAATATCAGCAAGTCATATAGCTGAGAAGTGGCTTAATAACTGAAATATTGAAAGTGATAAGGAAAAACTTGAATCAACAACAAAAGGTCAAACAACCCAATTATAAGAAGGGCAAAGGACTTGGGTAGACATTTCTCCAAAGAGGATATACAAGAGGCCAATAAACAATTGAAAAGACTATGAACATGATCAGATATTTACAGAAATGCGAATCATCAGCACAATGAGATACCACTTGACACCAACTAAGACAGGTAAAATCGATAAAAGGGAAAAGAATGAGTGTTGGTTTATAGGGAGAGTGTGTAAAAACTGGAGCCCCTATCAACTGCTGGTGTGATCGAAAAGGGTGTAGACTCTGGAAAACAGTGTGATGGTTCTTCAAATAGCTGACTCTTAACATGAGCACACCATGTTCCTTGCAGTGTTACGATTGTCATGAGAAGGAAATATTCCAAGTGCCCACAAAAGACCGTGGGTAACCAAATTGTGGAGCACACATACAATGGAGCACAGAGCCATCGAGTGGAATGAAGATGTCACATGTGCACAAGGAAAAGCCCTGGAAGCATTATGATTAGTGAAATAAGTCAGTCACAAAAAAATGTATGATTCCATTGACATGAAAATCTAAGAAAGGCAAATTCATAGAAAGAATAGAGTCAAGGTTAATCAGGACTGGATGAGAGAAGGGCAGCAGGAGCCACTGCTCACTGGTCACAGAGTTCCTCCTTTGGGTTATGAAAGATATTTGGAAACAGTCACGACAGTACGCAGCCGTGGGGATGTGATTGATGCCAGTGAAATGTACACTTAAAATGGTTAGAATGGCACGTGTTACGTTAAAAATCTTACAACAAATATTTTTAAGTTTTAAAACTAATGAAAGTTTTTTTTACCTGTAGCATGATACGATTGCAAATAACATGATCAGAAGGTATGCCGTGTAAAACAAAGGGACCACTGACCTAGCAGTCGCCTCAAATTCCAGTTTCCTAGAGAGTGATGTGAAGTAGACCACCTGTCGTAAAAATACATTCAGCTAAAATAACTTTTAATTCCAATATTTGTGTATGAGTGACAAGATCTATCAAAATATTATAGCTTATTGATTAAAACATGTTACAGTTTGGTAAAAGATTAAAATACTGTGAATTATGATTTTAGAATAAAGGTAATAAAAAATGTTCCCCACCAATGCATGGCATGCTTTCTAAGACTTCTTTCAAAAATCCAATATTTAATATTCCTGAGTATACAAATTATCAATTTTCTCTAATACTGTGTAATCACTGATAACTGTCAAAATTTTGGCTTTTTGTAAATGACGAGTAGGTTGCTGTCTTTTGCTATTTAATAAAAAAGTATAATTTCAGGGCCTCCCTGGTGGCGCAGCGGTTGAGCGCTGGGTTGCGAAGCTGCCCGCAGCCTCTGCAGGGCCGGTTCGATCCCCGGCTGCTCCCCCGCCACCGGAGGAGGGTCCCACATGGCGCGCAGACCTCTCCTGCCGCCCGCTGCTCCCCTCAGCAGTGTACTTCGGTCCTTCTGCCTGCTCTGCTCCCCGCTCTGGCTCTGGTGAATTCTCTCACCCTCCCGCGCTTCTGACTGTACCCAGTGCTTGTATGTATGTATGTATGTATGTATAAATCAATCAATCAATCAATAAATAAATCTTTAAAAAAAAAAAAAAAGTATAATTTCAGCAAGGCCTGGTATCCAAATTCTTTTCCCAGTGGGTGTCTCTCACCAGGCCTTGGCAAAAGCGTTAGCAGGTTTGTTCATCCTCTAAGGTGCCTGGCAGGATGCTAGAAAATACTTGAGAAATCTGAGCTAGTCGTGTTTTTCAAAAACACAAGGGAACTTCAGCTTAAATGTTTGTTTTTCATTCCAGTGACACCAAGCAAGTTTTTGGGGACTCCAGAAACAGTGCAGACCTGAAGTGAGAGCATTCTGGCTAGAAAACCAAAAGGAACCCTGAAGATCAATGTCTGCTCTGAACACTCCCACCCCTGGGGTGTAAAATGAGTGTTTCCCACTAGAATGTGACCCAGTATCTAGGTTGGCGGCTTCCCTTGGTGTCCCTTGAAGAAAGCTGGCTTAAGCTTCAAAGAGAGTGGAGCAGACCCGGTTCCACGTCAAGGCCTCCACCAAGTAGCCATGCGTGGAAAATCCGTGGACAGTTCTTATCCCTCCTACCTTCTCCTCCCTCTAAACCCAGCCCAAGGCACCTGGATGTTCTTCAAGGTCAGGCGCTTTTCAATGGCATGAATTTGGTCCAGGAACCCGAGCAGCCACTTCTGGCTGTGCGCGCTGTCCACAGAGTCCGCGGTCTTCAGGTAGTACTGCAACCGCATGGCCTTGGCTTGCAGGAGTAAACGGCTAATCCCCGAGCCGGGACCTAGCATGGTTCCTCCCAAGAGGCCGGCCAAGTAGAGGGGAGCAGCGGAAGTGTTGTAAATAGCGAAGGTGATGCTTTTCAGGTCCATGTTGTTATTCTTCTGCCAGGTGAACAGGAGTGGGTTGGAGGGCATGCAGGTGCTCTGGTACCTGGCACACACCTGAGGGTAGAGGACCTGGGTTCCATCTCCCAGGGGCACGGTCATCATCTGCACTGCCTTGTCCAGTTGACTAATTTCTGAGAAGATGACTTGATCCAGCAGATTGGTAGTGTTGGAGACCACCAGGATGGAGGCAAAGTTGACCTCCATGCTGGACCGCAACGGGGAGAAGAGGTGTGGCTCGTTGGTGGAGAAATGTGCCTGCACAAAGCGCCGCTCGGCCTTGGCTGGGCTGCCCAAAGGGGTGTAGTGCTCCTCCAGGTTCTCTTCCGTCTCCCTGGGCAGGTACATCAAACCGGTGCCCAGGACAGCCGTCAGCACCAGGGGCGCCAGCAGGAAGAGCCAGGGGTGCGAGCCCACAGCCAGCCCCATCTTCTGGAATCCCCTGGCGAGGGGCTGCTCCAGGCAGTTGGTCTGGCAGCGGGACCTCCCAGGGGATGGCTGCTGCCCCTGGGCTTCTGGGACCGGTGAATCACCTCTCTCAGAAGGCTGACAGGGTGGGTCTGAGGAAGGCCCCGAAGCCTGGCTCTCGTCGGGCTCCTGCCCCTCACTGGACTCCAGGACCTGCTCTGGCTGCCCCGCGGAGGCGGGGAGCTGCTGGGGCCCAGTTGCCGCCTCAGGATCTGCTCTGCTCTCAGACTCTGGCTGGGGCCAGTCCTCCTGCTCTGGCCTCTGAGCCCCTGAAGCCTCCCCTTGCTCGAACCCCCCTTGGGGTGCTACCTTGGAGGAATGGACACCCATTTCCGGAAGGACCAACCAGTTGTTCAACAGGAGAAGAGAAAGCAGTGACTGGATGTTGCACCCAGTCCCCTCCCCCCGCAGCTTCCGGGAGGAATCCACAGGGAGGCTGTGCCAACGGTCACAGCTCCTCGACCTTTGACCTCCGCTGTGCATGCTGGGATGCGGCGGGGGGCTGCCAGGGGGGTACTTTGCTGGAGAGCGGGGTCTTTCCACTGGCCTAGTTGGGGGAAGTGGTTTCCAGGCGGGTCTGCGCTTGCCCTTAGGATCCCCCACCTGAGGGGCCTGCATTTGCTACACTGTTATCAGTCCTGGTGTTCCCTCCTGTAGCCTGGCGGGGGGTGTTGATATATCTGCAGAGAGAAGCAGAGGCCGGGACAGAAAGGGAGAAGGAGGCTAGAGAAGCCCAGAGTGAAGACTGCGGGGGCTTTTCATTTCATTTATTTATTTTTTTATATTTGTTTATTTATATTCAAGGACTGGGGTACAGGCCAGATGTGCGGGAGGGTGAGAGGATTCACCAGAGACAGAGTGGGGAGCAGAACAGGCAGACTGGCTGAAATACACTGCTGAGGGGAGCAACGGGCGAGACAGGAGATGTCTGCCGCGCCATGTGGGACCCTCGCTGGTGGCCGGGGCCGGGGACAGCTCCACAGTGCAGGGCTCAACCCGCGGCACCACTGGGGAGGCCCCACTTTTCATTTTAAAAGTGAAGGGAAATCGAATACTAATAAAATGCTACTCATGAAAGTTGAGGTAGTTAGATTACAATCACGAAAAGTGGATATTCAGAAGAATAAAAAATATTGCAGATAAACAGGTGACCACATAGTGACAAAGAGTTTGATTTATGGGACAATCCTAAAATGTGAGGAGATTGTAGTCTCAAAATATGTTTTCAAAATTCCAGAGCAGAAGAAAATAATGAAAATTACAATGGACGTGCATAAATTGGAGACTTGATAAATAGAGAAAATCATTGCAATCCAAATGACTAAAATCAAAAATGAAAGATTACCATGGATCATTCTGAAATTTAAAAGAATTATAAGAAATTACTCTGAAAAATGACATGCCAACAAATTGTGCACAGTGGATGAAACAGACAAATTCCTTGCAATAGAAATGGTACCAAGGCCAAATGGACAGACCTCTCTCTAGGAAGAGAATGACTCAGTCAAAGAAAAGCCTCTTTGAGTATGCTTTTAACTGGACTTAGGAATGTCGGATGATGTACAGTTCCTATTATAAGGAAATTTGCCTGGCATTTTCCCATGGTTGCAATCTCTTTGCATTAATAGACATTATGTTTTTAATGTAAGTAGAAAAAGTATTTTTCATAAAATCTCCAGATTATAAGACTACTCTGTCTAAGAGTTTATGGGAATATCTTTTATAATCTCTTAAAGGAGGGCCTCCCCGGTGGCGCAGCGGTTGAGCGCTGGGTTACGAAGCTGCCCGCGGCCTCTGCAGCGCCGGTTCGATCCCCGGCTGCTCCCCGGCCACCTGAGGAGGGTCCCACATGGCGCGCAGACCTCTCCTGCCGCCCGCTGCTCCCCTCAGCAGTGTACTTCGGTCCTTCTGCCTGCTCTGCTCCCCGCTCTGGCTCTGGTGAATTCTCTCACCCTCCCACGCTTCTGACTGTACCCAGTGCATGTATAAACAAAACAAAAACAAACAAATAAATAAATAAATAAAAACATGCCTCTATTTAAAAAAAAAAAAAAAAATCTATATAATCTCTTAAAGGAGAAATAGATTTTGAATATTGGTTTTCCATAAGATCATGGTTGAAAGGAGACCACAAGATGGCACCTGTTTTCTAAAATGTTCAACATCACTTGTAATCAGGTTAATGAAAATCAAAACTACCATTAGATACCATCTTACACCAGTGAGAATGGCACATATTAAGAAAAAAACTAGCAACAACAAATGTTGGCGAGGGTGTGGAGAAAAAGGAACTCTTCTGCACTGTTGGTGGGACTGCAAACTGGTCCAACCACTATGGAGAGCTGTGTGGAGATTTCTGGACCTACTAAACATAGAGCTTCCATATGATCCAGCATTTCCACTCCTAGGTATTTACCCAAAGGACACAGAAACATCAATTCCAAAGAACACCTGCACCCCTATGTTTTTTAGCAGCACTGTTAACAATAGCTAAGCTTTGGAAATAACCCAAATGCCCAAAAATAGATGACCGGATCAAGAAGATGTGGTACATATACACCATGGAATATTACTCAGCATTCAAAAAAGATAAACACATGCAATTTGCAGCAACATGGATGGTGCTGGAAGGGATTATGCTCAGCGAAATAAGCCAAAAAGAAAAAGAAAAATACCAGATGGTCTCACTCATAGCAGGAATCTAGAAAACTTAAATATGGGACCAGGAAAATGAATAACTATAAGAAAGTGAAAATCAGAACCACACAAAAAACTATGAAACAGAAACACTTTTTGGGGGGGTGGGGGGCGGGAGGGGAGGGATTGGCATCAGAAAGGGGGGGTTGCAATTGTATGGGGAATATAAAAATAAAATTTATTATTTAAAAAAAAATGGAATGAGAAGAACAAAAAAAATAAAAAAAAAAAAAAGATGAGCAAGAAGATTTCGCAAAAAACCCAAAAGTGGTGAAGAGATAGGAGGAGATGATGTTGCTGAAGTAGGGCAACAAACATCACGTGGAATATCAATATCCAGGACTATTATTGACAAGCTTCCATTTTTTTTTTTCATTTATATTTTTATGTGAAAAGTACAGTGCGTCAGTTCTCACACTTTTTGGTTCTATAACGTATTGTCTACTTTTTCGAATCATTGAAAACTCAAAGATGATTACATGTCTATAGCTATCAATATTTATTATACTAGAAATAAAAAATTAGAGAAATTTTAGACATATATTAATTCAATTTAAATGACAAGTGTTGTTACTAGTTAATGTTTATGAAAATAACTATTTTAACGCAAAAAGTAGTGATGAGTAACATTATTTTTTAAAAGTATGCTTTTTTTCAATCTCTTTAATGTCTGGCTTAATAGAAAAAAGCTGAATTTCCCTACCTGGTTCTGCCAGCATTCTGTTTTGCAATCACGGTCTATGCATCCATTGGAAAACTCCCGTTTGGTTTTGTGGTGTCACAAAACAATAAGAGTGAAAAAACCTAAATAACATCTTAAATATTTATTAAGAGTTGGATCTTGTAGATCACCAGAAATGGTCTCCTAGGATTAGGGGACTACGCTTTTAGAATCCCTGCCCCACAGCAGGAAAGCTTGACTATACTGAGAATCTCAGAAATACATTCTTGATGCCACAGCCAGGAGCAGACTGGAATAGACCGATTGAGATTTCAAAGATGATTTTATCAGAGGTTGTCTGGGTGATATCACTTCTCAAAGTTGGGAACGAGCCTAAAATGTTCACTCAGTTCATTCATCAAACATTTAGTATAATTTTACATTATATGCCAGGTACTAGATACCAGGGCTCTTTCTGTTCTCTTTGGGGCAGATTAAACAGTGAACAAATAAACTAGTAAAATATGTATAAATATAAAGTAGAATTTATTTATCATGTATATGTAAGGATGGCAAATTCTATGCAGAAAAATAATGTGAAGAGTTATAGGGAAAACAGGAAGGCTGTGCACAGGACAAAGGAAGACCTCCTTAGGAAGGCATTATTTGAGTAAAGACCGGAAGGAAGTGAAGGAACCAATTGGATATGTGGTAAACGTGCTTTCCCAGATTAAAAAAAAAATCTTTAATTTTCCCCCTATTCCTTCTGTAATCAAATCTATTGTATCTGGCATTAGCTGCAAGTGTAAGAAGATGAAAGAACTGTTCAGTGTCTGCTAAGTACCAAGCACTTCATAAGCTTTCATATCCATATGAGATTTGGGACTTTCAATAAGATTTTCAACTTAGTGAAGGAAAGAAAGCACATGTAAACGATTCCTGTAGTTATGTAGTTTTTAAGAACAGAAATAGCTGGTTTGAAATTGCACCACCATAAGTTTTTATGCACCGGATCTATAGAGTCTACAATTCCCTTTCAAGAGGTACAGATGTAGGAAGGGAATTCTTCATTAAAGGAGGGTAAATCAGGAAATTCATACCTAGTCACACTTAAATGGTTTACTTGTGTTTACAAAGTGTGTTCATAAACGATCTCACTTAGTCTTCACAGCAATCCAAGAAGCTGGTATTATTCTAAGACATATGATGGCCTCCATTGCTCAGCTGAGCTAACAGGTTCAGAAGGCTAGATAAATTAGCTGGCCATGTGTAGAGTTGGGACCTACTTTTACCGTAATTTGCCTTTCCGCACAGTGCTTCCCGACGCCATATGGCTGTTATGAGCAGCAACTAAACCAAACAAGCGTTACACTCCCCTGGCTCCGCCCCTTCCCTTTGCCTACTGCATAACCAAGTCCGATGGAAGACAGGGCCGGAAGGAGGAAGTGCGCAGGCGGGTGACGTCACACACTTCCGCCCTCTAGGTCTGGGCTTGCGCGCGAGAGGACTAACCTCTCGGGGAAACCGCCTGGAACTCTGGTTTGGCGCAGACGCAGAGCAACCTCCAGGCGGAACTGGGTTGTTGCTGCTCCAGTGATAGACACACCCGGTGTGAAAAGGTGGTAGCACGCTGAGCGGTGCGCATGCGCGGGCAGTTCTCGGGGTGAAGGGTTGAGAGCCGGACAGGGCGGCCAGCTGGGCTGGAGCGGAGCAGCGTCAGGATGGACGAGGACGTGCTGCCCGTCCTGAAGGTCCTCATCATCGGCGAGAGCAGCGTCGGCAAGTCCAGGTGAGGCGGCCCCGCGGTCGTCACGGGGGCGGCGGACGGGGCTGCCGTGGCAGCGTCTCCCAGGCCGGCCGGGAACCGTCAACGGTGAGCCCCGAGTGGCCGCGCCAGTCCCTGCTTGTGCGCCGCAGGCCCCTCCGCCTCGCGGCCCGGCGGCCCCGGCTCCTGCGGCCTCGCTGCCCGCCCTGCCCGCCCCGCACCGCCCCGCCCCGCACCGCCCGCAGCCCCCGCCAGCCAGGGTGACGGGTCTTGCTCCCCCGTCCTGGCGAGAGCGCCCCGCGGCTGCCGCCCGCTGCGCGAGGCCTGGGCACCGGGGCTGCGCTTGTCCCGAGGCTCGCCTGGGCGAGGCCGCGGCCAGTTGGAGTCGGGACTTTATCACTTTGGGATTCAGGTTGGACTTTCTCCAAGGACGTGACGCGCAGGGAAGCCTCGTGACGCCGCAGGTCGCCGTCCTGGCCGCGCTGCAACGCCCGCCCCGGCTGCTGCTGTTGTGTTTCATGAGTCAGCCCTGAAAGATCTCTTTGGTCTTCCAGCTGCTTGACTCACTCCCTGTGCTATGAGATAGTTTTGCTGAAGCTGTGAGCCACCTTGACAAACGATGGTTCCATTCTGCCGCAGCACAGAAGATAACAGAGTGTTGTTTTTTCTTTCTTGGCGCGAGGGGAGTGATACTGACAATAGTTAGACTTGAGTGTGTGGCGGAGACATGGAGCTCGCGGTGTAGGAAGAGCGTCCTGATTTCTTCCAGGTCTGTGGAGCAGTTCCCCGGGTGAATTTATCCTGACCATTTTTCCTGTTTTCGCTCCTGATACACGTACATTTCAGGTCACTTTCTTAATCACTTCCTAGTTAAGGATTTTTAGAGACTTAAGGATTTGAAATTTTATTCTCTAATATGTTCTGAAGGTTTATATATTTTTTAAGCATGGTAATATATTTTCATATTTTTTCTCATTTAATGTCCTCTGCACAGGAGTGAAAGATTTGTGTTCAACAAGGATTGCAGTCATGGAACACTGGGTTAGGGAAAGTATAGGGTGTGGAGGAGCGGAGGAGGGTGGGAGGGAGAGAGAAGGGCTAGAGAGAATGATCACCGTTCGTTTTGACGGTTTAAAAGGTTTTTACTGGCATTATCTCAATAAGAACTCCATAGCTTGTGACCTTTCTTTTTTTCTTGAGATGTGACTCTCATTTAGGTTAAGGCATATCATATTGCTAAATCTGAGGTCAAGATGAAATCATTTCGTGATTCAAGCCAATAAATGGCAGGGCACTTTTTCTCAATGTATTGGGTGGATCACTGCCTAGGAAGGCTCTTTGAGAGGACTTTTGAAGATAATCTCGAAGTACAGTGTTGATTTCATTGAGGTTCTTCCACCACACCACAGTCTTTTAAGTAATTTCTTGTTCTTCGTTCCCCTCCCGCAAAGGTATGTGGATCTAATCTGTTCCAAACTTTTCCAACATACTTAGTAGTGGTTGTCAGATGCTCCCTGCAGTAGTTGAACACCTTTAATACCTCTTTCAAGAAGGATGGCATTTGTGAGAAAGTGTCTCATTTTTCTAGCTAAACATTATTTATGATATGCTATGGAAAATAAACCTTGATACTTATCTTTCTGTATAAGATGAGAATAAATAATTCCACTAAAATAGAAATATATGCTTTTTAAAGTGAGTTAGTATAAAAACATAGATCATGGGTATAATCTGAAAGGGTTCTAGCCAGTAGTTGGTTAGTGTTTTTGCAGAAACCCAGTGAGGCAATGAGATATCACTTGTGTTGTTGAGAAATCATTGCACAAGAGTCTTTAATTCAAATTTGTGGGTTATTTTTCAAGTTAATTTCAGAATGTTGGAGAATAAACTACGTGTGAGATCAGGATTTTGAAATTAATGCTTCCATTTATGTGACCTTATGTGAACACTGAAGGCCTTCATTTTTCACTTTGACAAATGAGGGTAGAACAGAAATCTCTCAAACCCTATCTGATGTTAAATATGTCAAATTTTTTGATTCTGTGGCTAGGCATAGTGAACTAAAGTAGCGAAGTGTTTCAGAAGGGGTTAGAGAAACCTATTATCCAAATTCTTTCCCTCCAATGCCCTTTTTATCCCATTTCTTTTTGGCCCATTTTATACCGGGGATCGAATCAGTGCTGCAGAGGCTGTGGGCAGCTTCGCAGCCCAGCACTCAACTGCTGTGCCACCAGGGGAGGCCCTGCTTTTAAAGTTATTTTATGTTCCAGAAGTGATATGACCTTCACTTTAACAGCACAAATAATGTAGGAAATGGATGGTATTTCTTGTTCAGACATCAGAAAAATTCATAATATTTTGCCTCCTTATTGACTCTCGGGCTCCTAGCTTAGGTGCTCGCTCACACAGAATTTCCATCAGAGAAGATGAAAGATGCAGGTGCAATTTTTTAGGGAACATTATCTGGTAGCCCATCTCAGAGAATAAAATATGTGTGAAGAAGAAATAATTCAGTAAAAAGAAGAAAAACAGAAAATAAAACCTTGACGTATTAGTAAATTCAGGAATCTAGTTTGCAATCTCTCTCCCTCTCCAACGCTCTCCATCCTATGAGAGAGAGAAAGAGAGAGAATGGCTGTCACCGCTACTTGTAACATCTCTTTAAAAATTGTGCGTACTTACTAAGAACGTCTTGCATTCATGCAAATATCTGTTTCTTCAATAAATGACAAAAAATAAATCTTTACAGCTTCATCATTGCCTTCAGTTGATTCTTGGTTCAAGATTTAGTTGGCTTTAGGATTTTATGGTTGAATTGTGCATTAGTTTAACATCTCAATTATAGTTGTTTTTATTGTTGTTGTCTTGGAGAGAGAAAAAATAGAAATATATTATATATATTAAATATACTAAATTCATTTCCATTCAGGATTGGAAACAATCTAAATGAAAACCCCAGGAAACTGTCCAATATATCTCACATATACATAAAACATTAGTGTTCAATGAAGAAAGTGGAATATAAAATTCTAGATATTGGTATTCCAGTTTGGATAGAAAATATTAATGCAATAATCTAGTGTGAATGTAGAATAGAGTGGAAAAATTACTTGGTATTAAGTGGAATACTATACAGCAGTGAAAACATGAGGCTGTAGCACAGCCAATCCTGTGGATCATCTTGCCCACATATTGTTGCGAGAAAGAGTCTAGATAGAAAATGAACATAATAAAATTTATTTATATTTTAAATACCAGACAAAATGAACATCATGTTTTAATTATACATTTAATAATACAGAATTATATGAGAACTTGTCATGAAAAGCAAGGGAAATAGTTACTGCAAAGGTCGCATATTGGTGCGCACTCAGAGACGATGATGATAAGTGATTTTATGTTTCTCCATCTATTGAATGGGAGTTCATTTGGTGATTCTTAAACTCTACATTTATACAACCGGCCCTTATACAAGGGTGTTGTAGTTCACAATTCAAAATACTGGAAATCAGAAGGAAGAAAGTAAGCTAACTCATGAAAAATATTTCTCTTTTGATGAAAAATCATAGTTGGCCATTGGTCATTTTATTTCATTCGACTGTTCACATTTTCTATAATGCATGCAGCCCCCTCTTATGATCAGAACCGGTTGACTAAAACTAATGAAAACATCATCATTGCACTTACATCCCTGATCCTTGGCAGGTGAAAAGGAACTGCTAAAATTATTTTTCAAATTAATAATACCTTGATGGCCAAAGAAAAACTAATATTAAGGATGAAATTGTGGCCTTCCTGCTAGTCAGGCAGGGTGGGCACAGCAGCTTCATTTGGAGTGAATGTCCAATACACTTCATTGATTTTAGTGAGGGGGTTTGGGTTTCTGGCCTAAACCTAGGCTCCTGCTCATTTGCAAATCCAAATAAATATATTTTGTCTTCAAAAAAGTAATTATAAATGTACTCTGTTTAACCCATAAGCTTTATATTGCTTTGATAAAAAAAGTGAAAGTAAGACATTAAATCAAAGCCCAGACCCTTCCAGCTTTCATATACAAGAGTTCTGAAAATTGTACATACCTATGGAAAGAAAAAGGCAAAATGATGAATGGAGCCATGATGTCTCATAAAACAAAATTTCAAATAACTGAAAGATCCTTCCTCTACCTAGTTACCAAGAAACAAACAATGAAAAAGAATAGGGTAGAATAGAATGAAATTCCTGTGTTCCAAATAAACTCACCCCATGTTGACATCCTGTGGCAGACCAGCCTCGGCAAAATGTCCTTTCAGGGCGCAGTGGTTGAGCACTGGGTTGCGAAGCTGCCTGCAGCCTCTGCAGCAACAGTTCGATCTCCAGCTGCTCCCAGGCCAAGGAGGAGGGTCGCATATGGCGCGCAGAGCTCTCCTGCCGCCCGCTGCTCCCCTCAGCAGTGTACTTCGGTCCTTCTGCCTGTTCAGCTCCCCGCTCTGGCTCAGTGAATTTCTCACCCTCTCATGCTTCTGACTGTACCCAGTGCTTGTATAAATAAATAAATAAATAAATAAATGAACAAATAAATAAATAAATAAATCTTTAAAAAAAAAAAAAAACTCTGAGAATAACCAGAGCCTTTTCAAGGAAACTTGAGAATGACAACAATGTCTAAAGCCCCTTTTTTAAAAAAGGAATTTTATCTTTAGCTGAAAACATTTCACTCTAAATGAACTGATGTCAGCCGTCAATGAAAGAACATCACAAATACAATGCAGACGCCTGTTGCAATGTCCATCGAGACCCTTTATTATTTTTTACAATTGGTGACTTTCAAGGTAGCAATGATGACAACCGATGTTCTAATCTAAAGCTCAACCCATTTGAGCAATTTTGAAATGGATTTGCACACAGACCACAAAAAATTGATATCCTAACCAACATTTCCACCAAAGATTGTAAGAACACTTTCTTCCCCACTTATCTTAGAATTTTTAGATAGCCATGATCTTTGGAGAAGACAGAGGCTATTTACCTCTATTTTACTTTGAATTTCCACACTGCCATGATGCAGCGGGACTGTCGGGTGGGTGATGCCAACATGAGTGAGTCCCATCCTCCCAATAGGAGCACCCTAAGAATTGGAGAGGAGTCCCAGCCCGGGCCTGTGGGCAGAGATTGGGGAAGGGGATGAACCTGGTCCAACAGGATCCAGTGGGGCAGCACCCTCTTTGCTTTCATCTGGGGAGAAAGTGAGACCCCAGAGGGAAGGCAAAGTGAGGAGTATCTCCCTATGGGCGGCCTATGGCAGCGTTGGGGAGTACCGTTCAGGAGAACTCAGGGGAGAGAGGGCTGGATGTGGAAAACTGTCAGGCTTTGGCGGGTTGCTTGATGGGCATGGAGGAGCACAGAGGTCCGGCTTCATTCATTCCTGAGCAGCCGAGTGGGTCAGAACCTGCACTGATTGGGGATCCCCAGGAGACCTATGGACACCCTGGAAACTGCCCAACACTGTGAAGTCAATGAAGTCGACACACGTAGGTGCTCACAGCTGTCAGGATGGGGTGAAGGTGTCCAGTCCACCCAGGAGGAGGAAATACCAAGCCATCTGGTGTGAGCACAGCCTGCCCACGTGGCCACAGAGCTGCGGGGTAAGGACGTGCTGTGTGGGGAGCAGCCACGCCAGGTAAAGAAGAGTAGGAGTGATGGAGAGAGGGCTGGAAAGAGGTGAAGGTGACTGAGACGGGTGTTTTGAGCAAAGTGTTCTGGGAGGGAGCTCTGTGGGAAGGAAGTGAGGGAACAGGCCCTTCAAGCACACAGAACCTCAGGGGCCAAAGCACTGAGGCTGACAGGCTTTTTCTTCAGTGTACACTGTCAATATGGCCAGCGGAAAACTGACAGACATAAAAGGTAGAAAGAAAAGGAGGCCTAGACGTGAAGACCTTCTGACTGAAAGAGGCCACCCAGAAAAGGCCACCCATGCAGGAGTCGTCCTTGTTCTTCATCCCTGTGAAAGTGAGGAAAGGACTCAGGAGCAGTGACAAAAAAGGATCAGAATGGAATTAAGACCTGTTCACGTGGGCAGGGCAGGTGACGGGAGCTGAAATGGGCCCGTGGGTTGGATAAGCATGTGGACACCATGATGACCACTCACTGGGTCCTAGGTGGTAGCCCCCTGGGATAGTTTGGTGAAAATGCACAATGGCATGGTGTGAAGAAAGCACAATGCAATGCGGGTGAGTACAAATCTGTGCTGGAGGAAGGCTGCTGGGAATCCCTGTGTAGAGATAGAGTGTTCTGCTATGAAAGATTTCTGTGCATGTGAAGGAAAGGTCAGTCTATTCCTTGTCAGGAGGCCTCTCCAGAAGAACAGAGAAGACACTGACAAGGGTGATGGAGGGCCAAGGTGAGGGGCCCAGGCTGCAGATGAGAAAAAAGGCACTGCTCACGGCTTAGGGATCTGCACAGGCACCCCTCCTCGAGGCACGGAAGGATGCCATTTCTGTCAGAGACTGAGCCATCCCAGAAGGGTGAGGGGAGCTGAATCCAGAGGCCAGGGGAGGGGGAGTTGCCAGGGAGACAGGCCTGAAGGGTCTGCAGTGAAGGCCATTGAGGGATCACTCCCGTCTAAGCTGAACTCCATCAGATGCCTGTGAGAGAGCAGGTGGCCACGGCTCTCTCTGGAGCATGCTGATCTGATCAAAGCGCGTATCAGAGTCAATCCCTGATTGTCTTCACTGGGCAACAGGAGGGTGGCAGGAAGAAAGGCAGCCGGCATTTCCCAGGAAGTCACCGCCAGGGCCGAGGTCGCATCCCTCCAGGGCCATGTTGCTGAGGGTTCCGGTCTCAGGAAGAGGCTGTGTGTGGAGATTCCACCAATAGACCTGCTGCCTCGGGTGTGGCAGACGACCCGGGCTTTGGTAGAAACAGCAGCAATCTTTCATTCCAAGTCTCTGTGTCACTGCACAAAAAAAAAAAAAAAAAAAAAACATAACTTGGAGAAGATGAAATCAGGAAGGTGGCAGGACACAAAATCAACAGAGAAGCTCAGCTGTGTTTCTCTCCCCTGACGGCGACCAGACAGAAAGAGTCTTCAGGGAAACGACCCCACTAACGAGCGTCTGGAACTGCGCTGAGGCCAGAGGAGGGTGGACGATGGCGCCTGTCCCTGCCCTGCCCAGGAAGCCAATGCCCGACTCCGCTTCCGCCACTTGCCCTGCCCCCAGGCGTGGGATGGGGGGTGCTGTGCCTCAGGGGCCAAGGCCTGGGCAGGGCGGGCATAGGACCAGGTGGGGCTGGGCAGGCTGGGGCGGGGGGGGAGGGGGAAGCCATAGGTCGGGGGGCGGGCCAGGACCGCCCCAGGAAGGCTGGGCCCAACGGGTCAGAGCGCGGCCAGGAGCTCGGTGCCCCACCATCTGGGCCTCAGGAGCCTGGAGCCCAAACCCAGGGAGAGGCAAGGTGGAGGGGGCTCGCTCAGGGTCAGAGTCAGCAGAGCCAGGGACAGGGTCTCCCGCTCAGGGACGGAGCTGGGACCCTGCGTTGCTTTCTGCGTGACATGCGCCAAGAAAAGCCTCCCGGTTGCCTGCCCTGGAGAGGCGCCCGCTGCGCTGCTCTGGGCTCACCAGCCCGGGCCTCAGCCAGGAGCACCAGGTTCACATCTTGTGCGGTTGGCAGGGACTCAGGGGCGGGAGCTGGCCCCAGTGCGGCGGGGGGCGGGGGGCTGCCCCCCATGGGCTCACGTGGCATGGCCAGGCCCACAACCCCACCCCCATCATCACCCCTCACACGCGCACACACACTCACGCACACCCCGCCTCGCACACTCAGGGGCGCCCAGAGCCCAAGTTTGCTCCAAAAAGGGCCCGGGCAGTCTCTGGCTCCTGGAGACACAGTGAGCCGCTGTGCGTGGGGGGCGCCTGGTCTCTGCTCGGCCCCACAGGCCGCTCGGAGGGGGCTGACTCCAGCACGTTCTGTTCGGAGGAAGCTGCGTCCAGCTCTGTGAACAGACAGCGCCGTGGGGGCCCCTTTCCCACGCAGATGTCTCAGATCTCTTCCCTCCGTCTGTCTGTCCAGAACGCCCAGTCTCACGCACAACAGAGCAGGCGCCTCAGCCCCTGCCCCGCCCCTGTCTCAGGAGTCCCCGTCCAGAGGGCCGCCCTGAGCCCACGCTGTTTGCTGCGGCTTTTGTAGGGTGGCCCGTGTCCTGAGGAGGAACCATTTTCTATATAAATGCATGATAGAGGGGCCTCCCGGGTGGCGCAGGGTTAGAGAGAGCGCCATCAAGCTATCACCAGCCACTTCATTTTCTGAGACACCACCCGGCGAGCCGGAACATGGAGCCAGCCTTCTCCTCCTCTCCAGAGGAGTATGGAAACTCTGACGTGGCAGCTTGGTTTGCCACTACTGGATGACACTCGGACAAAGGGCCAGACTCCCTCTCCTCCTCTCCTAAGGAGTCTGGTGTCTTCATAACGGTGGGTTGGTTTCTCTGAACTTCTTACCCAAGAATCACCAAACACTGTTACAGATCTTGCCTCTAGTCCTGCAGTTGCTGGATTCTGGATCATTCTTTGTGCCTAGACTCTCACAGAGCTGTGAGAACCACCCGCATACAGCCCCTGATGCCTCACAGGCACTATATTATCTGAAGTTTCTTCTATTTCGTATATGGCCTGCACCAAATGCAATAGGGTTTCATCAACTTCTGGCCATTCCTGGGGAGGTGCCCTCTGGGATAGGAGGCTGGCCCTGAGTACCATGTACTTGTGGCCCCCCACCCCTTCATCCCTGCCCAGGTTTCCAAGGATTAATTTACCCGTTTAAATTCAATCATCCTGCTTTCTACCCAAATGAAAGGCAAACCCCAACATGGGTAGATTTTGAAGCAGTTGGGTTGTTTTCCTAGCTGTTGTCATCACCTTCCTATATTCTGCCATAATCCACAGCACTCTACCCACTCCTGATACTCCAAAATAGTTGCCCAACCCCAAAGCTTGCCTAAGAAATACACAGCACAAACCACACAGTGGCCAGCCAAAGGCGCACCCAGGGCCCACTGCCATCCCCAGAACCAAAAAAATGAAACCCATGGCCCCCAGAGGTACATCCAGAACCAGCCTTCTCTCCTGTAGCCTGACCGGCACCGCCAGCCCGCCGGTGTTTGGGCGCCCGCCCACAGTGCCCACGGGCGTCCCTGGTACCCGGGTC